TTCATATCGCTCCTTTTCTCTGTGTGAGTAAGTTGAAATGAAATGAAAGTACCTTGCTGATAAATAGGGAACCAACATACCTGTCAGCGGGTGCAACATGAACATTTCCTGAACATTACAGAAAACACCTGATTTCAGCGATTGCTTCAGCGTTGCTCAACACAGCTTTAGTTCAAGAGCACCATTAGGCTTGTTCACTGGTTTTATTTATGAGTATATTGAGTATATACATATGTATGTGTATGTGTATATATATATATATATATATATATATATATATATATATATATATATATATATATATATATATATATATATATATTCACCAGATCATACATTCAAAGTGATTGAAAGATATTCAAAATCAATGACATTCTTCAAATTTTTTAGCATTTTCCTTAATTGTGATTTTTGTCAATTTTGATGTATTTTATTGGCACCTGATTTTTTATTTTTTTTGCCTTTAATGGAAGGATGTGTAAACTTTTAAGCACAATTGTAAATAAAAGAAATATATTATAAGTTGAAGAAAAGTGACATGTTGGATTTTTATTCAAAATACCAGAAAAATGTATTCCCTTTTCCTTTAACAAATAAACAGGTAAAAGCATTAACCTATTTATATTAAATCAATATATGTTTAAACTTTTGAATTGAATTACCAAACAATTTTGGTAATGCGGTTATGTAATGATTTTCTAGGAGGCTCCCTAATTACTACTGGATAAAAAAGACAGTTATGACCATTAACATTGCAAACCAAGTGTCTACTTAGAAGTGATTTATTTTTTTTTATTATTATTTTTTTTTTTACAGTGCGGTTTCTTTGTTGCTCTCCTCAAGCCTCGGCTTTATTTGGGGATCCTTGATCTTTTCCCTGAGAACAGGTTATCAAGACATGGCCACAGCTTATTTATGATCAGAAAAAGAGCTCAAACTCAGGATTAGACGTAAGGTCAGATAAGTGACGGATCAGTGTGTATGAGCGGTATTTTCTGCTGCACAGAAACAACATTTTTATGACAAGGTGAGAATTAATTAGAGTAGTAGTTGTAGTAGAACCAGTGCAGGGATTAGGTCCTTCATGGAAGATCAGATGTGACAGATCGAAGGGTGCCGGGTGGGTTCACAATTACTTCAGTGACTGACACACTTGGATAAGCTCCCTTCTCTGGGCATTAAATACAATTAAGAGAAGGTTCTGTATTTCTCTGCTCTCCCCCTCACTAGCTGTAAATCCACTTTATCTATGTGGCCTCCTAAACTTTCTATTAGTCCCCCGCTTCCTTAAATCCCTTCTCACACTTTATATTATCTGGCCTTTGAAGTGGTTTTAGCTATGAATCTGTATATTTGATGCTTAGTGAAAAGAACGACCTTTCCCACTGTTTTCGAATGACTTTTGGATTTCTCTTAATCAGAAAGCCATAAAAAAGCTGATAGGTGCCTCCCAGTGAATTCAGCTTTCTTCTGAATAATTCAAAGTGTTAAGGATAGAAGGTATTAGCTTGCATCAGAGCCCCCTCCTGCCTATTCCTTGAGTTGTGCTTATTTTTAGACTTTTTTCTAATGCTGCATTTTATCATGTTACAATGTAGTTGAATTCTGTTGGGATTTTCTGATCGACACATTAGTGCATCAATGAAAATGTAAAATTTAACATGAATTTTAATTAAACAACATATGATTTACTAAAACAATTGTGTGGATTTTTTTATTTAGTCCCCCTTAGTGATAATTTTCATGTTTAATGTGGTTGTCATGCTAGTGTCTATTATTGTCTATTTCTTTCACTAATGTTTTTTCTTTTTTTCTGCTTTATTATTTTTCTATTTTATTATCTAATTCATGTTTAGCACTTTGAAATGTCCATGTACACAATTGTGCTATAGAAATAAACTTGTCTTGCCTGCCTAGTGTCTGAACCACTGGACAAATCTTACTTCTGTTGCTTCTAACAGGTTTTTCTCTAATGTCTTGTACTTATCTTCACCCATCTCTAACTCGCTAAGCTGTTATATCCCTGTAAAATAAACCATTCCCCCAGCATGATGCTGTCATCATTCTTTTTGCTGACAAACCTCCAGGGCCCTTACAGAAGAATTATGCTATGGATCCTTTTCTAAATGACTGGGCTATATTTAATTGAGAAACCTCTGAAATCAGTTGGTTGGACTACAGTATATTTTATTTATGGATATTAAGGTTAAAGAGGCAGAATATAAATTTATGCCACCCATTTCAGATTGTATTGTGCTTTGCTCTATTTAGCCAAAGACTTTACAAGTTTGAGCTTGTAAATAGAAGAACTGTAAAAACTTCAGTGGCTATAAATACTTACATTAAGAGAGGTTAATAGGACCTACTTGTCATCTGTTTATGAACAAACAAGTGCCCTTCCTCATCCCTTAGTTTTTTTGTTTGTTTGTTTTCCAGCCAGCATAGCTTTTAACCTTGGCAGAAGACATTGACAGCAGAGTTTTGTAAAATAACGCAGTCAGCTGTATAATTTTAGCATTCTCAAAAAGAGCTCTTATCAGTCTTGATGCATTGCTCCGCGCTGCTCCATCCGCCTTTTCTTTTTAATTGATTCATTGCCAATTCTCTGCAAGGACAAGTCTATCATCTTCCTGTTTGTGCTGCTCTCCATGGCCCAGATCCTTGTCATCACATAAGTCTGCGTACATTTAAACAAGCAGAGCTCAAAGGTCAAAGATCAGTGGCGGTGAGACTGAGCTCATCTGACATTTGAGATGTGATGTGTGGCTTATGCATCTATGTGGTAGGACTCCTTAGACTTGAGGCACCTCTCACCATTTCAGGATTTTTTGCAGTGAAAGCTTTAAAGTTCTTTTCATCATCTCTTAACACTAAGAGCTACCTTGGAGCTGACTGGTATTCATTATTTACTCTAGATCGCATTAAGGAGTGAATTGTCTGCATAACCAAAACTACAGGTGATTTTATAAAGGATTAAACATGTATCTGTAAACTGGCCATATCATTCAATATAGTCTTATTTTATCAGAACTAGTGTTTATTATAGATTCAGTGTTTTATTACAATAAAAGATAAAATACTCAGAATAATTCCTTACTAACTGAGAAGTGCTGTGTATGAACCTTTGCCGTGGTGTTTGTTTGGATTCACAGCAGGTTTTCTGCACATATTGCTGACGAGGCCATTTTTTGCAGCAGTGCTAGGATAAGAAAAAAGGATGGCAGTAAGGACGGTTGATAACAACCTAGCATTTGATCACTATATTTAGTGGATTTCTTTTAATAATGACAAAAAAAATAGATTTTTTTATTACATTACATCAAAAGTAAATCATAACAATGCAGTAATGAAATTCTGACAGTATGTATGATAACCTTAAGCAAAAACATCACAGTATTATGCTCTAAATTATGTTATTTGAAATGTCTAAATTCAAAAAGAAACAAGAAATAAAATTCTGACTATTTGAGCTGATCTCTATGTAATCTCTAGCTAACTTTAATATTTGGTGAAACCAGCTTTCAGACCACTTTTTAAATGCAATAGATATGACAAGTTTCTGGAAATGTAAAGCACTTGGCTACAACTACGGCATAATTAGGTAGTTTTGCCTTTCACTTAATACTAATCAAATACACAATTAAACAATTACAGAGCTCTCTGTTTGCTCAAGTTCTGACCATCACTATCCCAAAGCCGCCCTGCTTATTAACACACTGCTAGTATTTTTTTCATTAATGATTAAAGCTAAAAGTAGCATGTTCAATTCAACACAGCATAAACTAACCTTAAATTTAGCAAATAGCACCGGGTGATGTGCCATCAGACAAGCATCATATTGGCTGTATTGTCGCGCAGTAGTATCATACCTTCATTGCCTCGTCTCGCTGTCACTGTCTAAACTGCAGTCCATCTCCTTGCTGTGGCCGCCTTTAGCTTTGATCATGGTATGCATTCACTGTGCCATTGTTTTGATAAGCTTCTTCAATGTTGGCAGATTTATTTCCACACAGTGTTTCATTAATTTTTCACCAAGATCTCGCATAGACGCTGGTAGAGTCTGACCACTGCAGAAGCTTTCTCCAGCACTTCCCAACGATCGTCAATGGGGTTAAGGTCTGGACTCTTTAGTGGTCAATCCATGTGTAAAAATCATGCGTCATGCTCATGAAGTCATCTTTTCACAATTCGAGCCTTATGAATTCTGACATTTTCTTAAGGCTACATAGCTGTTCTGTCCTAATCCTTTCGGTTCCCTTTGCATTGTGTGTGTGGAAACTTTCACAATTAAACATAGCCCTGAGTTCTGCTGTTGTTTTTCTTCGATTTGATTTTACAAAACTTTCGTCAAAATCAATCATTCCAGATATTTCCTTAAAGACAATCCTCCCAGTTTATGATTATGCACAGGACCCAATCTTGATATATGTACAGTATATCCCAACATATATCTCATAAAGATAAATATATTTAAAAAATGATATTATAACAACACAATATCAATCTTTTGTTTTGTTGTTTTGTTGGCTATAACCTAGTTATTCACCAGTGTTATGTCCAAAAAAGAAACCTCATCACAACCTCGGACCCTTTCTTAAACACTTAGCTTGCAATAAAGCTCACTCTGGAGATGTCCCACATATCAGCAGGAACCATTGGGGTAACATTAGAGAAATAGTTCCTCTAGATAAAGTTATGTCTGTTCTGATTTTTAAATGTCTGGAAGATGTTCTTTTTAAAGGTGGAACTACTGTAATTACAAATTTTTGTTCTGGATTTATTATAATCTCATAATAAAAACATGTGCAGCTAACTGTTTATGGTTGCTGTAATCAACATCATTCTAGTTGGTATTTTAGCCATGTCTGATAATGATGTGGGTACCTGACAGCCGAACTCAATCTGAGAGTTTGAAAGCAGCATATTCAGACAAGATACAAAATGCTTTGAAAAATACACAAACATGTTCATTTTCCACCTTTGTTGTCTTTTCTATGCAGTTATGTGGCTGTGGGCTGCTTGGCGTGGGCATCTGGCTCTCTGTGTCACAGGGCAGCTTTGCCACCTTTTCGCCTTCATTCCCCTCTCTCTCCGCTGCCAACATGGTCATCGCTGTTGGGGCAATCGCTATGGTGACGGGCTTTCTCGGTTGCCTGGGTGCTATTAAGGAGAACAAGTGCCTGCTTCTAAGTGTAAGTTAAGTTTCTAAACATACATATATTCATACATTAACACCTTATGTTGATCTTAATATAAATGCATATTTATATTAGGATGTTTATTAAGAAAAGATATTTAGGAAAAGTTTGAAAGTCACAGATGAAGTTAGACTACATTTCTAATTCCATTTCATTAACTATAACAAAGCTGGAGTAATAGATTTTGCAGTAATTGTGTTTTTTGTCCTTTTGATTAGTGCAAACATTTTTAGTAATGCTAAACTATATATTTTTTATATCAAACCTTTAAAAAAATTGAAATTCTTATAAAAAAAATATGCAATTTGTCAAGGCTCAGAACAGAGGACCCAGTATTCAAGACGAGACAGACGTTAATTTAAAATCGACTGATTGACGGTGGTAGCTAGGGCGTCTAAGGCAGGAACCATTGGTCTTTAAGTTCAGTCCGTGCCCAGAGGAAGGTAGATTCCGCTGCACGGCTGCCAACACACCGCATTCCAGTTCCCCATGCTGAAGTCTTGAAGACTGCAGAACAAGCAGGAGATCAGATTGAAGCAGGCGAAGAAAGGCAGGACTACCTGGAGAACGAAGCCAGAGGTGGTTTTATTTTTTTTATTTTATTTAACCTTTATTTTACCAGGAAGTCCCTTGAGATAAAATCTCTTTTTCGAGGGAGACCTGGAGTTGGTGTCAAAGAGGTTCACAGGAGTCAGAAATCCGAAGAGGTACTGAAGGGAAATCCAGGTTGGTGTCAGAAAGCAGATTCAGGGTCATCAACAGGCAGAATCCAGCAGGAGTCCGAAGACAGGTTAGGCAAACAGATCAGAACAGGAACAGGCAGGCTCAGAGGTCCAAAGGCAGAACGGGTCAGGATCAGGCAATCAGAATAGAATCATATATGCTAGAGAACTCTCACCAATGGCCCGAATAATCTGGCACTTATAACTGGAAGCAGGCGGGTTAAATAGAGATTGGAACAGGTGACACAGATGAATGGTGGACCTAGGCAAGTAAATGGACAATCAAGCCAGTCATCATCACCAAGATTATGGCAGAATTTCATTCTGCACATAACGTTGTTTGAAAGATAGAAGATGTCCTGAACTTATGAAGTACCAGACTTATTGATACGCAACGTTTTAGCAGCAACGCTACCCAATTAGTGAGGTGGTCACTATATTATGTCTGATTTGTGTTTTTTTGTTTTTTTGTTTTTTTTTATTCCATTATAGACTAAGTTTATTCTCAGTTTAGTGGAAGAATAAAATCAGAGCTTAGTAAAGGGAATTTACAGTTGCTGAGAAATTTAAGCGCTTACATGTCATCTGCTTCTGTGGTCGCAGCTCATGTCATGCACCGGTGTAAAACAAAAAAAAAAAAAACTGCACACAGTTCCTATGGGACCAATACAGAGCTAAGAAATCTAATATACAAAGGTAGCTGGAGGGCAAGACTATTCAAATATGACACATGACTTCTAATATTGAGAGCCTTACAATTGAGGAAGGAGGGAAATGATCAATTTGAGATCTTTAGAAAACTATGATCTGCTGTCAGTGGGTGTTTTTAAAAATATTTAGCTTGGCCCTATATTCAGTCTCAGATTGAACATAAAAAAGGCAGGCATATTAACTTCTAAACTACTACTGTGAACAACATTTAGTGAAGCTGAGTAATATTTACACCCCAGGCAGGTTTAGGTTTAAAGTTATCCGTAAATATGACCAACATGATTCTTCTGACTCGAAGCAGTATTCATGTTTTCAAATGATCCAGACAGGTTCCTGACTAGAATTTAAAAGGTAATCTGTGGGGGGAGCTAAAGATTAGGAGGATGATAAGGGGGTCCTCCAACCTCAATGACTTGGAGCTCATCAGTGTGGGAAAAGAATCAGAACACCAGTGGAAACGGGCAAAAGGATGCTGAGCAAGAAAAGAGGGGTTTGTAGATTCTACTGCCATTAGATTTTTCCATTGAATATTGAAGTGGGTGTAAATATTAATGAATTGCCATTTTAAATTAAATGTAAATAAATTGTTGTTTTTTATGAATTTATTACATTTATATATATATATATTAGTGTGTCTGAAAAAAAAACACCTTGATAAAAATTATTTTAGATTAACATCTGACAAAGGTGGAAATCATTTTAAGCATTATTGTGCTATGAATTTTTTTTTTTATAAACCATAGAAAATTTTGTTTAGAGAGAAAAGTGTACCTTCTCATGACTTAATGATGCCCTGTGAGCCATAGTGGCCTTATAAAGATTTCCTGGTGTGTAGAGACAGTAGAAGGCAACAAAACAGGAGCACAACTAAAACAAAAAATAATTCAACAAAAAAAAAAGAACAAAACCGCTCAATCATGTAAAAAAAACAAAAAAAAAAAGACAAAAAACAGAAAAAAAAAAGAACAAAACCGCTCAATCATGTGATTCCAGTAAGCAGATTGTAGCTCATCAGGAAATTTTGTAAAATAAATCAGCAAATTATTTTACCATATGGGCATAGTACTCTGAAAGGCACTCAATATTAATGAGATAAATAATTAAAATGTTCTATTATTCATTAAAACCCCTAGTTTGGTTTGGCTTTACACTGTTTGGCTATAATTTTAAAAGTGTTGTATCTGAGACACAAGCTAATTATGAGAGTTTGCTTGACTGGAGGATGTTTGTGTAGACTTGCAATGAAAAAAAAAACAAACTTTAATGTATAGGAAGTTTAAATCAAAGGTAAAGTAAGGCCCCTGACTGCTTAACATCACAAACGACACAATCCCTTGAAGCTCTTGCATCAGTCAAAAGCCTTTCCAAATCCTTGGTGCTAGACATGGCTTCCTGCACCTGGCTGACAACTGTGAAGCAGAGGAAAGCGAAGTGCAGGCAGGAGAAGGATAGTTGAAGGCTGTGAATAATAAAAGGGTTTAATGTAAAATATTAAATTTAAAAGTACAGATGTTTCTTATTAGGCAAAATGTCAGGTAGAGAATATCTCCTGCCACATCATCGGGAGATGGCATTGCATATCAAGCCATGCTGAGCCTTTTTATGGAAGCACTGTCGGAGACTCTGGGTTGTTTTTTCTTTTTGCACCCAGGGGAAGGGGGAGTTGTTATTGGGGCTGATGGTGTCATGTCGTTCAAAGATCAGTACACGTTTGGATCTCAGGAGGCAGACGGAACCAACCGTTTACTTGACAACAACTCTCTTTGGATTACAGAGCATTCGAAGCGCTGACATCCTCTGCAGTATTTTCTCAGTCTCCTCTGTATGTTTTTTTTTTCTTTTTACAGCCAAGAACAGTATACTAAGAAATAAAAGTACATATGAGAACAGGAAGATATCTAAAAGACATGAAAAATGTAGAAAGCAGGCCGTTGTAGTCAGCAGTCGAGTGTGAAAGAGCAACACTGGTACAATAAACTCTGCAGCCCAGATGCGAACACAACAAAAGGCTGTGAAACTGTTTTATGTGGGCCATTGAATAAGAAATACCCCCCCCCCCCCTTTTTTTTTTTTTTTTTACCAGCACTTCCAAATGAGCCTTGAATTAATTAGAGGTTTTTTTTAGGAATCTAGGTTTGCTTGCGTCCTCCCATGCTGTGCAGAGGAGGCTGTAAATATTGAACAGCGTCAAGGAGGTTTCATGATGCAAGACTTCAGAAGAATTTAATCCAACCCCCCCTGCAAATAAAAACCCTAAAAATAAATGATTAACCATTTCTCTACCTCCAAAGAATTTTATCTCTGTCTTCATGCTCTTCCCTTTTCAAAAAGGACAGATTTCTGCATTTTTTGACAAACAAATAACTTCAGTATATCTTTTAAAAAAAGAATCAAACAGACCTGTTATTCTTGACTTTTCATTTAAGCTGTTTTTCATAAAGAAACTCTGGATGGACTGCAGAATGCAGAGATTGATCGGTCCAGGCTTTCTCCACAGTTTCTGTTTACACATTATCTTCACACTGGGATCAGTTTCAGCTCTTGTGCTCTCTTAGCAAGAAATATAATAGAGGAGGGAAACGGGTGTCCTTCATCACAGAGGGAGCTTAAATGATAGTTTGGGACTTCCTGTTTTGTTTTTTGATTTTTTTCTAAGTCCTTGTTGAGGTTCCTTGATTGTTTTGGTGTCATTGATACCAAAAAAAAACTGGACATTATCAGTCAAGGCACCATTATTACACAGGGAAATCAACATCTATGAAGATCAGAAGAAAGGCAGAAAGGAAATATTACAGTATAAAAAAATTGCATGAAAGAATAAAATATGAAAACAAAGATATTAGAGGCTTATAAAGACAGATGGCTCGAATGTTTCTTTACTCAGATTGTTTGATCACAGCTGCAGTAACGAAAATGTTTTCACCCCTTAAAAGAAACAGTTTCTACACATCCCACTTTGTTCTAGATTTAAGGAGCATAGAAGCAAAATTCTTTGTTTCAAAAACTTTGCTTAATTCTGGCTTTGTGAGCACTGAGCCAGCATAAATCTGACTGATAGCAGAAGTTTGGAAGACTGTCTCCAAAAACATAGGTTCTGATAGTCAACCTATTTAAGAGCATCTCTGAAAGAGAACCAAATTTTAAGCATAGGAAAATTGTTAACAGTAAAATAACCTTAAATTGAAAAGTGTAGATAACTCTAATGTCTGTATTTCTGCACTAATCCATGGCAATAAAGTGAATAAAATATCAGAGAAATCATCAGATGTCTGATGAAACGGAAAATTATTCAGAAAAATATATTTGTAACATCAATTTTAAAACAAATGAACAAAAGAGTAAAAGTTAAATTGTTTCACATCAGAAGCCTGAAGCATCAAGGGTTTATTCTTATGATGCTTTTAAATATGTATTAAAACTCTTTTTAGAACATTATTTTAATGGTATTACTTTGCATAGATTTTCTTAGACTCAGCCTTTGTGTTGCCCTACAACAGTTTTTGCTGAAGGCTTTTTGACAGAAATGGTTGTCAGGGTCAAGGTTGCAGGTTTGATTCCTAGCACAGGGTCTTTCTGCATGGAGTTTGCATGTTCTGCCTGAGCATGCGAGGGTTCTCTCCGGGTACTCCGGCTTCCTCCCACAGTTCATGACTGTTAGGTTAATTGGCTTCTCTAAATTCTCCTTAGGTGTGAGTGTGTGTGTGAATGGTTGTTTGTCTCTGTGTTGCCCTGCGATGGACTGGCGACCTGTCCGGGGTGTACCCCGCCT